AGTGACCATCACTAAAAAATTGATTGTGTCATTTGGGAGTTGTAGTTGCTGAGATTTATAGTTCACCTACAATCAGAGAGCATTCAGAACTTTACCAATGATGGAATTGAACCAAACTTGGCACACAGGACTTCCATGACCAACAGCAAACACCAGAAGGATTTGGTGGGCATTGACCTTGAGCTTGGAAGTTGTAGTTCACCTACATCCAGAGAGCACTGTGGATTCAAACAATGAAGGATCAAGACCAAACTTGGCACAAATACTCCATATGCCCAAATATGAACACAGATGGAATTTGGGGGAAATAGACCTTGACATTTGGGAGTTCTAGTTATTGGGATTTATAGTTCACCTACAATCAAACCCCACCAACAATAGAATTGGGCCAAACTCCCCACACAGAACCCCCATGACCAACAGAAAATATAGTGTTTTCTGGTGGACTTTCACAACCCTTATGACACCCCCTCACAACCCCTTTCCAGGGGTCCTGACCTCCAGATTGAAAAATGCTGCCTTAAGGCCTTCCGATTCAACTCTCTTCACCAGGTCAAGAAAACATAATCAAAGTCCCCCTGACAGAGAGCCATCCAGCCATAGATATAGATAGATATATATGATTCACACACACTCACACATAGGACATGTATGGACAAATATAGTATCATAGATTTGAAAGGAGCCCCTAAAGAAGGACAATGATAAATTGCATGTTCCAGAGTAGACAAACCAGACAATCTCCACATCAACACTGACAAAGAAACAACAAGAAATACTGTTTATCCACAAGCATAAAAATATATATATTGGAAACCAACACTTTCTCATTACTTTATTTTCCAGATTACCAGACTGGGCCACAGCAACGCCTGGCAGGGGATGGCTAGTATATATATATTAATGGATTTTTACCTATTTGTTGTTTCAGCATGGTGCGATTCTAAATAAAGGGACAGGACGCTGCTTAGAAGTTGAGAACAAAGGCATTTCAGGTATGGAGCTTATTCTTCGAAGCTGCACGGGACAAAGGTGGACCATTAAAAACATTATCAATTGAAAGAAAAAAACGTCCTTCTTGAGCAAAGGAAGATTTCGCAAAGACACCTTTCAACAAACTCTGCTCTGTTCAGAATATCAGGGAAGACTCTTTATGGGAAGGGAAGATTTACATTTTTTAACTTGATTACCTCTCTGCTGACGCCAACGGGATGGCTGAAAAAAAAAAATCCTCTCCATGTGAATATTTCATCACGCAAGACATTTCGCAAGGATTGTAATTTATGCGTGTAAATGCTTCTGAGATTGCAACAAACATATCGGAACAATGGTTTTTAGCGGCGAGCGCGTTTTGTTCCTAGAGAGAGGGAGGAATCGCAAATGTAACGGCAACCATTTCTCCAGGATGACTTCGAATAAATTCTCAAGCTTATTTTGGGATACCGCCCTATTTTTCCAGACGTGTCAACTTTGTACGTACGTGGCTTACATATTTTGAAGTCTGCTTCATGGAAAGGAGGGGAGGGATTCTCTCCGAGACAAACTGAGCACAATGGGATGTTGTTTCGACATTAACATTGTGTTCTTTTTTGTTTCCCAGGTGCACTGTGCCAAATCTGAAGGGGTATCTTCAGTGTTAACATAGCCTTCTGTCTGTGTATTTCTAAATGTGTAGCTGTAATTTATGTGTTTTTTCAGATCCTTAACAAATTTGAATTCTGGAGAGATGAAACGCTGCAATGCAATAATTTGGTTCTATGAGAATACAGTACAGTAGAGTCTCGCTTATCCAACATAAGCGCGCCGGTAGAACGTTGGATAAGCAAAAATATTGGACCTCACAACCTCTGAGGATGCTTGCCATAGATGCAGGCAAAACGTCAGGAGAGAATGCCTCTAGAACATGGCCATATAGCCCGAAAAAACCTACAACAACCCAAAACTATTGGATAATAGGGAGGGATTAAAGAAAAACCTATTAAATGTAAAATTACGTGATGGTTTTACGAATTAAGCACCAAAATATGTTTCACAACAAATCAACAGAAAAAGCAAATTCAATACACGGTAACATTATGTAGTTATTACTATATTTACGGGCTTTAGCACAGCTGATAAATCACCAGAAATGATAAAATCTACCAACCGAAAGGTTGCCAGTTCGAAGCCCCAGGTCGTTGTGAGCCCCCGACCATCAGCCCAGCTTACTATATACCTAAGCAGTTCAAAAACAGCTTAGAGCTGTAAGTAGAGAAATTGGGTACTGCTAAAAAAGTGAGGGAGGGATTAAGGAAAAGTCTATTAAATGTCAAATTATGTGATGATTTCACAAATTAAACACCAAAATATGTTTAACAACAAATCAACAGAAAATGCAGTTCAATACATGGTAACATTATGTAGTCATTACTGTATTTACGAATTTAGCACCTAAACATGGCAATGTATTGAAACAGCAGTAGATCCAGACGGGAGGCAGACTGCGTTGAATAACACAGAACGTTGGATGAGCGAAGGTTGGATAAGCGAGACTCTACTGTACTCCCAAGGTTTATAAGACATAGACAAAAGAGGAGTGGTGAAACACTCTAGCTTTATCATATCTATGATAATAATGTGAAATTTCTTAGGCTCACAGGGCAAGAAGGAGTTCCATATATCACTGAGCTCAATCCAGAAAATCCAGTTAGCACAGTGGTTCCCAACCTACGGTCCATGGTCCACAAGAATGAAAATATGGTCCACAGCCTCACCATTACTACACCACTACCTTGAAACCATGTGGCAACGAGAACGACTGGTCTTGCGAAAACCAAGGCAATGAGGATGTTGTGAGGAGAGAGGCTAACTACCCATGGAGGATTACTACTACCACATCAGCTCTAGATTATTAAAAATGGTTTTCTGTGGGTGAGCAGATGGCAACTACTAGGTAGCATACGTTTGTATCAGAAACTAGAGCTGATATGGTCTATCCAATGCAATTTTCTGAATCGGCATTCCAAATAACCAAACAGAATCTAAAGTTGATCAAAAACTGATTCGTAACTCTTTTGGTACTAATGTTGGAGAGTGGTCCCTCATCAGGTGGTCCCTGGTCAAGTGGCCATGGTCAAGTGGCCCATGATCAAAGTGATCCTTGGTCAAGTGGTCCCTGGTCAAAGTGGTCCCTGGTCGAAGTGGTCCCTGATCAAAGTGGTCCCTGGTCAAAGTGGTCCCCGATCAAAGTGGTCCATGGTCAAGTGGTCCCTGCTCAAAGTGGTCCTTGGTCAAGTGGTCCCTGGTCAAAGTGGTCCCTGGTCAAGTGGTCCCTGGTCAAAGTGGTCCCTGGTCAAAGTGGTCCCTGATCGAAGTGGTCCCTGGTCGAAGTGGTCCCTGATCAAATTGGTCCATGGTCAAGTGGTCCCTGTTCAAAGTGGTCCTTGGTCAAGTGGTCCCTGGTCAAAGTGGTCCCTTGTCAAATGGCCCATGGTTAAAGTGGTCTCTGGTCAGGTGGGGCCTGGTCAAAAAAAAGGTTGGGAACTACTGAGTTAGAGCAAGTGTGTCAAAGTCATTTCCACTGAGGACCTCATAGACACCACTAGTCTATAGGGTCATAGCTAGATGCTTCCCTACCGTCCTATGTCTATTGACTTCTCAATGGACATAAATATGAAAGTGGTAAGTTTCAAGCAAATTCCAGTTGTTGTGCAAGATAGATTCAATTTCTCCTTTTGTGTTGGCCCAAAAAAGAAACATGCTGTGTTTAATGCCAGCCAGGGGGAAAGAGGGATCATAGTCACAATGTGACCTGCCAAATGTTAAGTTCATATCATTGTAAGTGACTGGGGAAACTATTGCATAAGAGATGCTATTCCATCCAGACTGATTATGAAACTGGTCTCCATATTTTCAAAAAATGTATTTCTCCAGGAGGAGATAAGCTTTGTGCGATAACAACAAATAATAATTCAAAAGCTGTAATTCATCATAACAATTAAATCTTGTCTCATGCTACGAACCCATTGGCCTACTGGAAGATATTACTGGATATTATGGGGCAAGTAACCCCAAATTGGATCGTCATCCACAAGAAAAACTCCTAGGTTGGCCTCCTCCCAGCTATCCGAATTAGAAGGGTTTCCAACAAAAATATGAAGCAAATCAATTCGTGGAAGGGTTTTAAATACACTATGAGATGTTTTATTTCTCTCTCTCTCTCTCTCTCTCATGGCATAGATCTATAGCTTTTGGTGTGATGGCAAAAGATCATAATGAATAAAGTCCCAAGTTTCAAAGAACGCCTCCGTCATTTGTTTTCTTCTGCCCTTACATCTGTTCCACATATGTGCACACATTATACATCCAAGTGAGATTCTTTCCAGATTGTGATGACAATTTGGCTTGCGCCTCCGTTCCTCAAATGTCAAATTATCCATATGGTGTATGTCTCTATTGGATTTAGCAGAAATGTGGAAACTTCATGACTCTGGACGATGGACATGGATTCTTTGGGCCATCAAAACAGGGCCGGAGAGATGGTTCACCTATTTGCATTAGGTGTCTACCTGGATAAATCCATCTAAGAAACACATTCTATTTTATTATATTGCAAGAATCAATGTGGATATATGCTTTGTACACACCTAGGACCGGGCTATGGTGCAGTCAACTGAGTTTTAGCTGCATTAAATCACAATTGACCAAGAGATCACGAGTTCAAAGCTGGCCTGGGTTGGAGTGAGCTTCCAGCCATTCGTCTAGCTTGCCGTCAACCTATGCAGCCCGAAAGACAGTTGCATATGTCAAGTAGGAAATTTAGGTACTGCTTTATGCAGGGAGGCTAATTTAACTAATTTACGATGCCATAAAAACCTTCCAGCAATGTGCATAAGAATGAGGAAGTACTCCATCAAAGAACTCGGTGTCACAATGCATGGTGAAGCAGCAGCTCCCCCTAGTGGCCGGAATCGAGCCAGAATCCAGCATACCCTCATGAAGCTGGAAAAAGCTTGGGCACAGCTGGAATGTTAAATTGCCTCTGCATCTGTCTATATATGTTGTATGTCTACCTGGCATTGAATGTTTGCAATATATATGTGCATTGTAATCCACCCTGAGTCACCCTGTGGAGTGGGAAGGGTGGAATATAAATACTGTAAATAAATAAATAATAGATAAATAAACAGGTATTTGATATAATAGGTAAAGGTAAAAGTTTTCCCCTGATGTTAAGTCTAGTCGTGTCTGATTCTGGGGGTTGGTGCTCATCTCCATTTCTAAGCTGAAAAGAGCCAGCGTTATCCGTAGACACCTCCAAGGTCATGTGACTGCATGATTGCATGGAGCACCATTATAATAATATTGAATAATATACTTTATTTGTATTCCAACCTATCTACCCAAGGGGACTCAGGGCAGATTACGGTACACATACATGGCAAACATTCAATGCCGTTGTACAATTAACAAGGACAGACAGCATGTAAACAGAGATAAAGTCTTCCCATACTTTTCCATCTCCGGCATCTGGAGGTTGTGCTTGACTCCAGCCATGTGGGGGTCCTGTTGCTCCATCTTCCATGCCGAGGAGCTTTGTTGTCTTTAGATACTCTCCAGATTGAATCGCAGGCAAGTCCACATGGGTGACTTTTATTATCTCACCACCAAAGTGGTATCTTATTTATCTACTCACATTACTGTTTTCAAAATGCTAGGTGAGCAGAAGCTGGGCTGATGGTTGGGAGCTCACCCCAACCCGGGCTTCCTATCATTTTCCATCTCTGGCATTTGGAGGCTGTGCTCGACTCCAGCCATGGAAGTAGGTGGTTTTCCATGGTGAGGACCTTTGTTGTCCTTAGATGCTCTCCCGATTGAATCACCGGCATGTCTGCTAGGTTCACCTGCTTTGCATGGACACACCTATGCCAAACAGGTCAGGCATACTCGGCAGTTGAGTAAGACAAGGCTAGGACTGATGTTCTTACTAAACTCGTAGTAAATTCTGATAAGAACTGAGACAGTGATAATGGAAATGTTTGCAACATTTCTTATGTTAAGAAGGAAGTCAACACAAGCCTTGTGTTTGTCAACACCAATAAAAAATAATCAACATCTAGCCAGGAAACTGAGATGGATCCAGGATGGAAGACGTCTACCATAATTTACAACTTTGGGACTACATCAGTAGAATATTCCTATAAAAGACTCAGTCTAATAATGCTCAAAGTGTGGCAGACCTGAGGTGTCTGTTCCACCTGCTATGCTCTGCTCCATGGGAAGGAGAGAGATAGTTTACCTATGGCAAGTGGCAGATTTGCATGAGAGAAGTCTGGTCACTTTGGGGCTTCTTTCTCAAGGGAAGAGGAAGAAGTGCGTTTTTGGAGTCTTAGATTTTGTGCAGGGAGTCAGGCTCTGCTGTATGGAAAAGAGAGATCTGGTCCTTGGCATTGT